TTCCCACTGCCCACCTAAATCCCCACGAGTATGACTATTTTTGAACCACCCTAATTGCTTCTTTTATCTTCCATTAAATCAGTAAAATTTTCCATGGTGATCATGGGCCAAATAATGCTCTTCCATTACATTACATGTCACTTGTTAGATGCTTTTATCTAAAGCGTACTGTGGGCAATCCCCACAGGAGCAATTTGGGGTGAAGTATTTTGCCCAGTGACAAAACTACATGCTGACTGCAGTGGGACTCAAACTTGCTACCCCCCTGATTCAAAGTTCAGCGCACTACCCACTGAGCCACAGCCTCTTCCAACAGTATAGCTGACATTTGTTACAGATTAGATCTGTAAGCATAATTGAAAATATGATAAGCCTGAACCGCCGAGAGGAGTTCTACCTGATACCGAGACACTCCTGCTGTTCCTAACGCGAATGGTGCCCTCTGTTTTTAGTACAGGAAGTACTAGCATAGGCATGCTGAATCTTAATTTGATACACATTTTCCCTCAAATATTGTCTGTGAAAAAAGATTGTACAAGCGAGACAGCAGAATTGATTCTAGAGCTTTAAGCAACTGTTAAATGATATAAATACTTTAATGTGGATACAATGCATTCTGTCCACTGTTCTCTGTTTGTCCTGGTTGTACAGTGTTTACTCTAATACCACAATTAAATACAAAGTTGAATATCTACAGAACATAATTATAGCATAACTAACATATTATAGTAACAGCTACGAGAACAAACCCCCAGAACTACAGTTACTGTAATAATGTAAAAAAAAAAGTGATAGATATGAAACTGGGAGACAGGGGGGATGGCATACGGCAAATTGTCCCGAGACGGATTTGAATCCGGGACAAAACCCCAGTATATGGGCCGCCAGTTCTACCAACTGAGCTACAGTATACGGCGGGCCTAATGTTATATTTTTTATGGATATTGTCATTTTTGTTAGGGAAGGAAATGCCTTAAGGACATTGCAGTGTCTACATTTTCCAATGGCTGTTGTTAGAGGAAAATGAAAAGCTGTTACGTGGTTGGTTTATTTGAGATTGTGTGCAAAGCCAATGCAGTGACACTCAATATTCCAAAATGAACTGTACAAATTATTTGCACGCTGATAAGTGTTAACTCATCATTTATCTCCGATGTGCCCTCTGAGGAGGTACTGCGGATATTGCACAGGTATTGTGAGGCTTATATAGCGTGTTAAAAAAAGAAACACACACAGTGGTTTAACCAAACATTGTTATTTTATTATCTTAAAAAGTAACACAATCCCAGTAGGGTATCACATACACTACAACAACGGTAACACCAGAACTACACATCAAAGGGACTTTCGGATAATATAGACATTTTAAAAAAAATCCCTCTTTTTATTGTTTAAATTATTTGACTAGGCATGACAGATAAACATCATTTACAGTTATGACATACCGTCACCATTAGAAACAATGTTATTGTTGAACCGCCATTTTCATAAACCACCGCCGATGTTAAGGGAAGACATTTTATGGACTGTCAGTGTAGAAAAGGGATGGGGGGGTTACAGGACTGTGTGTTTGATGGGGGGCCACTGGACCAGACAGTAGCAGGAGGACGTCGGGAGGGGCAGTGCACTCGTCAGACAGAAATGAAGGTAATCCATGACCCCCACCAGGCAGGGGACTATAGCCCTGTTCTCCTGGTGGAACCGGGACAAGAACCCAGTGTGGCTGTGGATCCGGAGCTGAACTCCTGAGCTGGGGCGTATACACATTATACTCCACTGGAGTGGTTTCACCAATGATTAGTGGTACATTAGGGTTTGGAAATAGAGTATTTGTGGGTAGGGGCTCCTCTCAATGGAAACAGTGGAACAGAGACTCCACGTTGACTAACAGAACGACTATCTGAAGTCACACAATAGATAGATTAGGGGATAAGATGGTATCATTGTGATTGGACCTGTTCTACCTTTAATCAGCATCAGAAGCCTGTTGACATTGTAGGCCGTTGGCTATAATGCCAGAACAGAGAGCTGAGGCGTACTGACACCTGGGTGTTTTGGTCCCCAATTGGATTTTAGTACCTAGCACCCCGAGGGTGTACAAACCATGAACAGCTATGGAGCAGACTGTAAATATCTTTCAATTGTAGAACAGAGGTTAGAAAATTGATAGAACTGTGATCATATTTCAAGAACAGAAACATCAGTCCTTTGGGAAAGTCAGTAAACTTCAATGTAGGTGTTTGTTTGATCAGGAAACAGTAAACCTTTAAGATGGTACTCAGAACTCCCAGTGTGGAAATTGAGATCACTAAAAGGGGCATACTAAACCGCTGATGGATACTTACACTTTGAGGGTCCCTTCCCCTGCAGCTCAGGGGGTCCTGCAGACTGACAGAGTGTGTGCACGTGGAGATGGAGACGTGGAGTCCTCCTGTGTGCATCCTCTCTAGATCTGATTTGTACTTCTTTGTGCCTCGTCGCAGCGGTCTAGCTTGCATAGCTGTATGTCAGGACATATTGTTACATTGGTGAGAAGGCCAACACTTCTTGGGTCTACGTTCCTCTTTTAGGATCGGAACAGGGGGGGGGATGCAGCTGAACCACAATGCTTTCATGTAACATAAGAAGAAATGTTGTTAGTGAAGAAAGGGAAACGATAGGGAGTCCAGCACTTTGATGTGTAGCATGTTAGTGTGTGTGTGTGTGTGTGTGTGTGTGTTTGCAGACATTCACAGGCTAGAGGCTGATGACAGTGTGTAGTAGAAAGGACGGGCTGTGTTTTTGCTGCTGTGGAGGTAGTTGTAGAGGAGCCAATATGACGACCACACTGGGATGACGGACAGCTCTCTGAGCCTATAGGAGGATGGGAAACAATTGACCCATAGGGCTGCAGAACTGGTTAAAATGAGACCATACATTTGGAATGTGGTCTCATTCCACCCCCCTCCCCCCCCCGTGCCATCGTCAGTGGAGCCCCAGCATCCTTCACTGTAATCCCAGGCCGGGTCACCCATGCTTTACAGAAGGGTCAAAATGGCCATTGCCAAAGTATGCAGGTGAAACATATTATACACGTGAAAGCAACCCTTTACTATATTCCAACTCTCTCATCACCCTTTTTATTATGACTATTATCATGGTCGTCACTGACCATAATACATTTTAGCACCAGGAGTGAGAGTGGCTCAAGGATTTAACCCAAACAGTTTGAAGAAAACTCAAGTAGCATGAACTTGATAGAAATGTAAATTAATGTAAACTAAAGCAATACTGAAATCAAAACAAAGTCACATCCCTGCTTGTTGTGTAGAATACTGGTCTGGATGAGTTTTGTGGATCTCATATTCTCTGTTGGACGCTCAGCCCCGCGAGTGCCACACAGCTGCTCCTTGTCAACGTGTACTCCTGATGCAGGGAATCCAAATGTCACTTAATTTAAAATGTACTAACCAATTACTGGTCAGTGATATTTACTGCTTTAAAAAATCCCAACTCTTCCCAAACAGAAGCAACTCACTGTTAGCTTAGCAACGCTTAGCTGTGGAGCTGAGCAGGGATCATGCTGCTCCTCAGGTCCACTGACTGCAGCCTCACACTTCCTCTCACTTCAACCAGATAGAAATAGAAGCAATGGTGGGAAACCAAACTAATTATTTTCAAATGTTCTGTGTGCTCTTTGAGTCATACAAGTTGATCGAGTTCCTGCTCTGACGTTTCCAGCCTCCGAGCTGCTGAAGAGTTCAGAAACCCTGAAGGCCTTACTCGGGTATTAGTGTAAACTTAGCTGTTGCCAATGTAATGAAAGTGAATACATGTGAATAAACTCATTATAATAGCGTCTACTGACGCGTCAACGTTGGTGTATATCAGTTTAGATCAGCATGGATCAGTATAGGACCTCAGGAGCTTATATCTGAACACCGCTGCAAACAAAGTGGCTCTATTAACAAAGTAATACTATAGTTTTGCCATATGTACATTAAGACAAAATAACAATACGCAGCATGTCGTTAATGATTAGATTCAGGTTAAATGTTAATAAATATAGGCATTTATACAATATATAAACTCATTTACTTTGTGTAAGGTATGTATATTCTGAATATTCCTTTTTATTGATGTCATGGCAATTTTATTTTGTATTTCTTTCAAATAGTGTCCATTTGTTTTTCTCTCTGCTGCTTTAACATGTACAGTTCTCCTCAGAAATGTATAAAGTATTCTCTACTGTGGCCCTGAGAGCTGTGCAGTACTTTGAGCTCTCTGGGCCACCGTACTTATCTGTTCTGATAGTGGCGTGGAAAAGAGTGTGTGACCGGCGGACCCTGTCCTGACAGAGCTGGAACAGGAAGAAGCTGCACCCAGTGGACATGAGGGCTAACATAACAGAGAAAGTGGAAGAAGACGTGTCCTCCCTGGAGCTGTCCATACATCGACAGCACTGCAGTGTTCAGGCAGTCACACGGGCATCATGGCATCCAACAGATACAAGACATGTTCAGCTTCAATGAGTTACTGTAAAAAAGCTTTTCTATCCCCTCACATTGTTGATGCACTTTGGAGCAGAGGTGGAGTATTCAGTGTCGTTTGTTGTGGCGCTGCACCTTGCAAAGTGTCTGCCAGTGGTGAGTTTAGAGAGGCGCTAACAGAGACAGGTGAGTCAGCTGGATCAGTGGCGTGTGTGTGTGTGTACCATCAGTAACAGTACGAGGAGCAGCGCCTCATCAGTGTGTGACACCACTAGAGGGAGATGCACTGATCTGGAGCAGCTGGAATGAGAGTGGATATAACATGACCTGAGAGGACAGAGTAGGCACACACACACAACACACACACACACACACACACACACACACACACACACACCACACACACACACACACACACACACACACACACACACACCACACACACACACACACACACACACACACACACACACACACACACACACACACACACACACACACACAAACACACACCACACACACACACACACACACACACACACACACACACACACACACACACACAACACACACACACACACACACACACACACCACACACACACACACACACACACACACACACACACACACACACACACACAGTGAACGACACAACAGTAGTGTGTAAACTAAAGGCTGTATAATGACATGGTCAGAGTCTGCCAAGTGGCCTGGTGTGTGTTTGTGAGAAAGGAAAGAGCGAGAGCAGTTTCCTGTTGGCCTAAACCGCTCTGTTTGTGTCTGTCTGAATGTGTGTGTGTGTGTGTGTTAATAGCTGTAGTTTCACAGCGGGCCTGTGGCAGCACACTGGTTCAGTTCCGCAGTTTGTAGATGTAACAGTCCTTGGGGGGGGGGGTTCATTTTCCGGCCCCTCTCCGTGGCCCCAGTGCTGCACCCAGCATCAGTCCTGCTCCTAGACACTGGTGATTGATGCAAGGCAGGCGCTAGGCTTCTGGAGTTTCTCCGGCTGGGTGCCTGCAGGTTCTGGGATGGCGCGGAAGGAGAAGGGGGGGCCCGTGCCGGTGGCGATGCCAAGGTGTCCCGGGCTCAGAGCCAGGTTCTGCCGACGACTGCTCTCCACTATGGAGGAGGTGTTGGAGGCCAGGCTCTCCCTGGTCCTGCAGACACACACACACACACACAATGAGACTCTGTAACATCACTGCCCCACACACACACACACACACACACACACACACACACACACACACACACACACACACACACACACACACACACACACACACACACACACACACACACACACACACACACACACACACACACACACACACACACACACACACACACACACACACACACACACACACCACACACACACACACACACACACACACACACACACACACACACACACACACACTGTAACATCACAGCTGCAGGGACACACCCACAATGAGACGCTGTGACATCACAGCTGCAGGGACACACCCACAATGAGACGCTGTGACATCACAGCTGCAGGGACACACCCACAATGAGACACTGTGACATCACTGCTGCAGGGACACACCCACAATGAGACACTGTGACATCACAGCTGCAGGGACACACCCACAATGAGACGCTGTGACATCACAGCTGCAGGGACACACCCACAATGAGACACTGTGACATCACAGCTGCAGGGACAGAGACACAATGAGACACTGTGACATCACTGCTGCAGGGACAGAGACACAATGAGACGCTGTGACATCACAGCGCTGTGACATCACTGCTGCAGGGACAGAGACACAATGAGACGCTGTGACATCACAGCTGCAGGGACAGAGACACAATGAGACGCTGTGACATCACAGCTGCAGGGACAGAGACACAATGAGACGCTGTGACATCACTGCTGCAGGGACAGAGACACAATGAGACGCTGTGACATCACAGCTGCAGGGACAGAGACACAATGAGATGCTGTGACATCACAGCGCTGTGACATCACAGCTGCAGGGACAGAGACACAATGAGACGCTGTGACATCACAGCTGCAGGGACAGAGACACAATGAGACGCTGTGACATCACAGCTGCAGGGACAGAGACACAATGAGACGCTGTGACATCACAGCTGCAGGGACAGAGACACAATGAGACGCTGTGACATCACAGCTGCAGGGACAGAGACACAATGAGACGCTGCAGGCAGCACAGCACTACATCAGGGTCATTCACATTAAAGGAATATAATGCACTTTTCAGGCATTCTGTATTGCTTTCAAATATTTATTCTACCAAAGTCCAAACTTCACGCATTTATTGTTACACCGCTGAGTCAAGACTTACTCTGCCTTGCTCTTTCATGTACTCCGTTTGTGTAATTAACGTATTTAATGCCCAACAACGAGAGTGTAACACATCCGTCCTTTAAACACTACCAGGTTCTCCTTAGTCTTTACTTCCCGTCTGTCTTCGTCTGCTATTCCCTTTAGTATTTACTCCCTGTATGTCTTCTTCATATGTTCCCTATCATTTATTTTCCCGTTTTTTGTTCTTTGTCTCTTATTCAGATTTTATTGGGAAAGTTCAGCCATCACGAATCCAGTTTCGTGAGCTCTACAAATGAACATTACGAAAATAGCCCATGATGTTCATGATAGATTAATGGACAGGAGAACGTATGTGTTTTTTTGCCCCAGCTTGCCCGGACTTGTTTCTGTGGATTGATATGACTGCGTGTGGTCCTGTGATCAGTACCCCTATGCTCTAGAGCAGGGTTGTCCAAACTTTTTTCACAGAAGGCCACTTACAGAGAAATATACAAAGGTATATTGCCTCATAAGTTAGACAAATCAATCAAATGTAGGTAAATTATGATTGATATTGATGAAAAAAACACAGCTCTCCGTAGGGTTTCATTTATTGTGTAGGCAGCTCATTCCTTAAAACAGGAGGCTCAGATTGCGAATAATAAGAGGAAATATGAAGGGTATATTTCAAGGTTGTTATGTAAATGTGTTATTGGGCTTTTTTTCTCATCAACTAAGATTTGTGAGAAAATGTTTTCAACTTTAGGAGAAACCAGCTCGAGTGCGCAAGAATTTGAAAATACACAGCCGGAAGAAATCTGCCACTTCCTTCCAGAGCCCCTCCTCCAACACACACAAACGCGCACATGACCAATGAGGGCACGAGATAAGTTTGTGCACAGATGGAAGGCTGACAGGCAGGTAGGCCATCCAGCACTTCAGATATTCATTGCTATCGGGATGTTAAGAGCATTCCATGGAATATAACAACAAGTGTATCTCGAGCCGGTTTCTCAAACTTACCTACCCCACCTTTAATTGACTGAATTTATTTGAAATGTGGGCTTATTAACACATGAATACTGTGTTATATATCTGAACATATATATTTAAGAAGTACAATAGCAGATGTTTAATTTGCCATATTTCATTATACTTTTGGAATTTGCTGAGGGCCGATTCAAAATGGTCCGCGGGCCGCATTTGGTCCCCGGGCCGTAGGTTGGATACCCCTGCTCTAAAGCATGTCATATCCATTTCCATCTTCCCTTCCTGGTTAACAAAAATCAAAAAATAATTCCACACCTTTGATTTAAACACGACCGGCGCATTTCTGATTTCTTTCTCCGCTGACTGCGTCTTTGTTTTGACTAACTTTCTGCCAATCCCACTGAATTTACCCATGGCCATGACCGCACAAGAAAAATCTCAGCACCATCTAGTGGATTGAATATTTTTTTACCAAATACTTTAATTGTAAACATGTCTTAAGCGTAATTTAGCTTAACTGCCTGTTTTATTTAGACATACTTTTATTTTGAAGGCGACTTTGCGCTATTAACAGGAAGTTACCGTGCCCAAAGCAAAAACTTGAAGGAGATAAAGTACAGACATTAACGGAGATGTCAACATTTAAAGTTTACATTTAAGTATTAGCACCCACCGAAGAGGCACAAGGTTAGTTTCTTAAATCATTTATATACTGTATTATAACTTAGTATAGTATCGCGATACTATGCTGTATCGATTATTTCCCCCACCCCTACTGTCCACAAGTCATTCACCCATTTGGATTCTCAGGGCCGACTTTTTCACAGACCAAAATATCATGTAATTAATAAGATTCGACAAAATAAATAGTAACCGACCACTTTTTAACAACTACATAAATGCATTCATTGCATGTGTACAAATAATTCAATTGTACCGTCTCAAATCCTTCCTTAGTTTTAGAAGTCTACATTTTGTAGTAATCTAATTGAATCAGAACAAGCACACAGTTACATTTAAACTCTGCATTTAATCCGGAAAAGTCTTAGGAGAAATACATTCTGATTAAATGAATACTAAATTCAGATTTGCTAAGATTTGGTTAAATGCTAACTCTACAGATAGATGTGGCAGCCTGTCTTATTTCAGATAGATTGACCCAGATTCTGTGTGTTGAAAAACGGCTTACAATACTGACTGCACAAAGTAAGACTTGTTTAATTCATGCAAAATGATCATTACTGTGTGCCATTAGTTCTAAAAAATATTCAGCTGATGGTTAAACTTAAGAAAAATGAATGAAATTATTTGTAGTAATGGAAAACGAGTGTAAGATCTGCCTACATTTTACGGGGCACAGAAAGGAAAGTGTGAGTGTGTATGCAGTGTGTCTGTGCTGCTGTTACCGTGGTGAGTTGAATCCACTGTCCACAGTGACGGAGCTGGAGTCCATGCTGTCCAGTCGAGCAGAGTGGGCCGACTGCTGGTTCTGACTGGGCTCTGGAAGGGTTTCTTTAACACCAGGGAAGGTGAGAGTTCTTTCAAACCTCCTTTGTAGATCCCGCTCCTTCTCCCTCTCCAACAGCCACTGCATTGTCCCTGCCCCCCCGCCTCCCATCCCAGCAACACCCCCTCCAGCATTCCCGGCCTCTCCTCGACTTTTAGTCCCACCCTCCTCTAGTTCATCATCATCTGAGACATTGTAGTAGTCAAAGGAGGCCTCTGCAGCACTGGTAGTGGGTTCAATCCCCTGTGGGGGGGCGGACGGTGTGGCCACCAGAGGCTTGGGGGCATCATAGGCCTCCTGGGAATCCAGAGCATCGCAGGACGAGGACAAAGTAGAGGAGGCGAGGGCCGGGGCTTTTCTAAGGGAGCTGTAGCCGGGCAGGGGGAGGCTGGGAGGGGGTTTGAAGAGTGTGTCTTTACTAAAGATTTCCTTACGTTTCTCCTGACCCGAGGAGGCACTGTGGGGAGGTCTGCCATTAGGAAGAGGGGGGTCAGGGAGGGAGAGGGGTATTGGAGGCAGACTGCCACCCTTAGGACCCAACTTTGACAAGTCCTCCTTATTTTCGAGGGGATGGGGTGTCTGTCTGTCAGCGCTGCCTAGCTTCAGTCCATCATGGCTGCTCCTGCCCAGAGTCCCCAGGGAGTTTGCTGCTATGAGAGCTGTCTCCGAGGACCCTGAGCACTGGAAGTAATCGTCGGGTGGGAGGGCGCAGAGCAGGGGTTTGGGTGAGTATGCAGGCAGGCTGTCCCTGCTCTTACTCTTCTCTAAACTCCTGCCACCATCCAATCCCAGAGAATCTGCAGGCAGTTTATTCGAGGTGGGGGTGGCACGAGAGTAGTGAGAAGTGCTCTGATTGGCTCGCAGTGTGCCATCGTCAGTATAGTACCGGCTCCGCTCGTCGTAATAATCAGGTGGGCCAATCAACCCTGCTCCAAGCGGTCCTTTAGAATTGTCCATGGACCTGGAGCGCTCCTTGGCCTTGTCGCTGCGCTCGTTTCTGGATTTCCTCTCCTGGGTGTGGGAGTGGGAGCGGTGGACTTTGGAGTGGTGGGCTGATGGACCGTGGCTCGGCTCTGGGAAAGGCATCTCTGTGCGCCGCTTGGCAAGTTCCCCGGACACATCCCACTCTGGTGTAACAGGCAGGTGGGAGGACTCCAGGATGTTGGGGTTGCTGTGTGCCAGGTGGAGGCGGGCTCGCTGCCGATCCATGGCCAGGGCGTGTTCCCTAGGCGACCGAGCCAGCGAGGACGAGTAGGCTCTGTAGTCCCGGTCCAGCTCCAGGTCGCTCGGCTCGCCACGGGACGCCCTCGTCTTGCTATGTGAGCGACTGAGTTTGGTCTGAGACTGCTTCCTGTGTCTCCCCCCACTTCTCCTACTCCTTGAGCTCTGATTGGCTGACGACGCTTTGCTCCTTTGAGCACGCTCTTCCTCGAGGCGCTTCATGACGGCTGTGTGCCGGGCGAGGTTCTCCACCGTGAGGTCAGGGTTGATTCTGCGGATGATCTCCATCTCCACATGGCGGGGCAGCTGGCTGGGCGTCTCCTCGTCCCGCAGCGGCCACTCTTCAGGCGGGAACTGTGCAGAGAAGGTGGCCAGCTGCTTGGTCTTGTCCTTTTTAAAGCTTAGACGGAACAGCTTCAAACCAAATTTCCGACTTCCTGTCCCACTTCCTCCACCTGCTGGTTTTTCTATCTCTCCCCCTCCTCCTCCCCCTCCCCCACTTCGATGCTTTGTGAGCGTGTCCGTCTTGAAGGGGAACCCAAGGGTGCTGCGACTCTTTTCTGCGTTGCTTCCTGCTGGCTGAGGAGGGGTTTGCGGGGAATGCGGAGACGAGTACGCCTCCCGGTGGTCTTTGGGAGATCGACGCTGCAGGGTGGTGTGGTGGCTAGGGGGGTCGTCTCCACGGTAACTGTTGTTGTAAAAAGGATCCCCACCTCCGCCCCCACTGTGGTTCTGGCTGGACTTTGGGTGTGTTCGTTCTCGTACGGCTCCAGAGGTGGAGGGCGTGATGGTGCCAGAGAGGGGGGAGGTGCACTGTGTCTGCTGATGCTGCTGGTTCTGGTGCTGCTGCTGGTTCTGGTGCTGCTGCTGCTGCTGTTGGTGGCGGTCAGCGGATCGCTCGTCTAAGTGGTACCACTTGGAACTGGTTCGGATTAGGCTCGGTGTGATGAAGTACGTCTGGGGGGTTACGATAAAATATCCATCGGGGGTTGGGTAGATCTTCCGCTCACGGACCAGCATGCTTAGCGTGTGGTGCAGAACCTCCTCTGTTGGGGTGGGAACACCTGGGCAAAATGAGAGACAGGAAGCCGTTAGAGCAGGTCCACATCATCTGTTATTATGGTGAGCTCAGGAAAACATCCTTCAGGAGGTTTTCATGAGAAAAGCCCATTTTTGTTTTGATATGAAAACATTGTCACACCTATAGTCAAACTAACATGTGCTCATAATGCTAAGCTCAAGTGACAAAAGTGATGAAACCATATTCAAACTTCTCTTCATCTAGCCTGGGCTCTCTGGAAGACCCTTGAACAAAGCGCGTTCTTTTTAAATATGTTTTTTCCTGCATAGAATATATAGAAACATATATAATATACCACATACATTTGGAATTCTTATTATTGGAGCAACAATCAACTTATTAAGAAGTACTTGAAACATATCAGTTCACAAAGACCACAGGAGAGTTGTTTCTAAGTTCTAGCAGTAAGACCGATTGAGGCCTAAATGGCTGTTTCTGACTGATGTGTGCATCCACTGAACTGTACAAATCCCACACAAACACTTGTAAAGCCTCTTACACACCAAACTGACACCAAAGAACACGTCCCGACGGAACGTCGCCTCACGTCTCCTGCGTCTTGGACATGTGTTGCACTGGAACACACCGCAAAGACTTCAGCCGACGGCCAAGTAGCACGTACGAACTGTGCATGCGTGAGTGGCAATAACTCTCCTTACCAGCAGGTGGCGGTAGTGTGTATTCGTCATTCAAAAGAAGCAACAACCGGAAGACAGACTGCGTGATAACCGAGAGAAGAAGAACAGACTGCGTGATATAAACAAACAACAAATAGCGTGTGCGTTCCATTTTCACTCTACAGCGAGAAGCTCATGGGGCTTTCCCGAACCTGTGTCGAGAGCTGGAGTTAAATGAAATCTCAGGTTTGCTTAATCGTTTGTTTGGGTCCCTCACTTCCGTTTCGCTTCTCATGCACTGATTCGCTAGCTGAACAGCCAATCAGAGTGATTTCTTTGGCCTTTGGCCTCCCGATTCAACAAGTCGAATCGGCGGCGGAAGGTGTCGGCACGGCCGAAAAGACAAGACGGTGCAGTACACACCAATCTGAGTAGGGCGACAGGACGCTCATTGACGGCCCGACATCTATCGACGCCGATAATAGGCTTGGTGTGTAACAGCTTTAAGAGACGAAGACTGCAAACAAAGGTCTTGATGTACAGCCACTTTTTCCACAATAAAGTTCCTCAGGCAGGAATATTTGGAATCTGCCATCCTCTTCCTCTAACAGTGGGTGCATCCACTTCACTTTACAAATGTCCAGATTTAGCTTTATACCTCCTCCTATCTCCTGTCTCTCCTGCTCTCCCCTTTCTCTTTCCTCCAATAACCTTCCTCTCCCTTTGTCTCTCTTCTCAGTAGCTCCTACTCTCTTCCCCTGTCAGTCCCGAGGTATTACTGCCAGTTACATCATAGCAGCCTTTCAGCCCGGCAGAGTGATGCAACGCGGGACAGACAGACAGACTGCACCCTGCTCCTCCGTCCCCTTCCTCTCCATCTTGTACATGAGAAGCCTGAGCAGAAGAAAAGGAAGTGGAAGCAGGCTGTGTGTACTGGAGTTAGAACGGGCTAACCTTTACATGCCAACACTCACACAATAACACGTCAAAACATATGGTATTATAGAGATCCCTCTCTGGCATCAGGGGACCACCACTCATCGCCTTTTAAAGAGGAGACTGAGTTGAAAGTGAACGTTTTTTTAGGGTTCTAAGTCCAGACTGGTTAGTAGTAGTACACTACAAAACATTGTTATTTTATCTGCCTTTAAAACTGACAGTGAGTTCACCCAAAGATGTTGCTAAGTCTTAAATGCCCTTAAGTACAATGGTTCAAGGTGGAGGAGGGAAGTAGGTGATGGATGTATATGATGAAAGAGAAAAAGAAAGAGCGGCATGCTTTGATGGAGCGATGGAATTACAACTTTTGTGTCAAAAGGGCCGAAAAAATGATTTTCCATTGGGAAATAGATGTCTGTAAATCAGAGTATCTTCCCAGTATGAACACTTTAGTAGCCCTTATTTACTCATTTGGGCCAGAAAGATGCACTCATTAGAATCAGAGTTCCTTTATTTGTATTTATAAAATGTCAATCTCATTCGCTCTATTCATTCCCCTGACTTAAAAAACCCTAATGATAACAAATGCTTTAACTTTACAAATAGTCTCCTATTCCTCCATTTGAGATGATGACATGATAGTATGTATGCATTCTTATTTCCTACAGAAAACAATGTTGATGTTATATGTCAGTTTATAGGTTCCAGCTTCTACCCTTTTCAAAAAAGAACAATAATTGAACATGTTGTAATGTTATTTACTCTACTTCATAGCCTCTGACGTCAACAACCACATTAGCTCTCCTGCTAAAGCCTCTTTTTGATATCATTTACCAAAACAAACAATAGTATTTTAGTGCACCAAGAAAATATTCAATGGGGGAAATGTAGTTAGCAGGCTGAACAATACACTGCACATAACGTTGGTCAGTTTATCTCACAACACAGAAGCTGCTCATCCACGAATGAACAATGCGTCTTACATGACAAGACTTTATTTCTGATTAAATTCATAAAAAATAAGTGTATTCACTCATCAAAGACACTGATAAAGCAAAGAGCACAGATTTGATAAATGCATGGACATACTGACTGACAGCAAATTGAGGTTTGTCAACCAGTAACGTTACACATTTGACTTGAGTTTTTATGTGTTCAAAAGAAGGCTGTTAAATATAGAATGAGTACTTTTACTTTTGGTACTTTAACTATATTTTGATTCTTATACTTTTACTTGAGTACAATTTGTATTGCAGGAGAAGTAAGTAAAAACCTGTAACAAGAGTATTCCTACACTCTGGTACTTCTACTTTTACTCAAGTACAAGATCTGAGTATTGCTCCCATCTCTGCAAGACACAAGAGCCACTGAAAACGTATTTGGGATGGTTTCCCCCATCCATTGACACTGACAATGATCCACCACCATCCTATTGATATGAAATCCTGTTCGACTAATTATCCAATAAGAATGGATCACCTCTTGTAGGTATGTTTGTTCTCTAATAATATCATATCAGTGAGCTCCAAAGCTTTCTTTGCCCTTCCCTACTAAAGTAATCTATCCTCTCTTAAAACTACTACTACTACTGTAACTGTAGACCAGGGGTGCCCAACCTTTTTTGAACCGAGAGCTACTTTTAAAGTTGCCAGTCTGCCGAGATCTACCAGTCCAAATAGAGAGGCGTAGCCATTACTGACAGCCTACTACTACCAGGTAAATACACACTTCTACTTGTATAAAACTGACCTTTGTACGATTAATACCTCATAAAATACTGCAGATCCTTTATCTTACCTCTTTCTAATCTACACACGTACAAGTATTTAACTGAAGTTACACAACAGTGTTGTTGATACAGAGTTGGAGTTTATTCACACGTCACTACAGTGGGTAATGTTTTCAAGAAACATTGAACAGTGCTGCCACATATGACACAGGGGAAAAGAAAAGACTCTGAACCCTTTCTTTGCCATTATATAAAAATAGTGTTGCTACAAAAGTATAAATTAGGCTTACTAATAAGACAACTCAGATCTGAAGCTACACAGGAATCTGCTGCAACAGTGCAATAAAAAAGACAAAATTAATAGAATCAAACCCTTTTTTTGTTGCATTTTAGTAGATTATAAAAATAAATGGCTTTAAAATAGGATGCAAGCAACACTAGTTTCTTAACCTGAATTGATAATAGACTATAATCAATTTAAGTTTGCATTCTTATACCATTTTGTACAATAATTATAATGAATAAGTTCAAACTTACAGCTGATTAATAACGGTATCTAACTTGAGTTTTTATTATATCAAAAACCTGTTGAAATGCTACTGTTATTTTTACTGTCCCCCAAAAGCGCGTCGCAGCCTCCAGGAATGCTTCTTTCACAACTTCGCCGTCTTTGAAAGACTTCATGTGTTTCACAAGAACGTGACTGACATGATAAGATGCTCTGGTAGCAGCCTTGCTCTTGTTGTTGGGCCTGGTGGAAATGGACTGCTGTGCATTTAGCTGTGCTCTCAGGCCCCTCCCCTTTTGGAGCGTAGGGCAGAATTAGGAGGGAATTCCGTCTCGTAGCGTTTGTGCACTGTTTTGAAATGCCGCTCCTAAATTACTCTTCTTCGATAAGGCCACGCTCGCATTGCAGATGAGACAGATGGACTTTGAATTGGAATAGATACAAAAATAATCATCCTCCCACTCGGAGTGAACGTTATATATTTTGGGCTTTTTTGCTTCTGCCATAATTGCGGTCTTGTGTGTGTGCGGACTGTCACTCCTGTTGACACGGACAACGTCAGCAAACTAGTGCCCACTGCCCAGCAGCCACGCCCCCACACATGGGGTCACGCCGGCCAATCACAAAGCTTTGATGCGTTCAAGTGCATTATTCTGGCACAGGAAGATTATGTCATAGGACATTAACGATAAAACCGAATATTGTTGTTCTATTTTTAGACACATCTCGCGATCGACTGGGAATCTCCCCGCGATCGACTGGTTGGGCACCCCTGCCATAGGCTATAATGCTAATTAATGCAACGTATGCTAATTGTGCAAATTGTCCAACATATGCAGGTTGTCATCCAGCAGTTTCTATGTGCTGGAGACCCGTACTATACATTTCTAACATAACACTTTGGGGTACTCAACATTTCCGGGTTCACTATAGGGCTCTATGAGCTGGAAACTAGACTATAAACTTGAACTTTAATTTCTATTTAGGAGGACTAGTAAAAGTAGATTCTTCTAGATACACCGTCCAGTCTCTGTGAGCATCCACATCCGGCAGCCTCCTCAGGACAACAGAACTTCATGAGACTGCTCACCCTACACCCGTAACAACATGTAGTCCTGAATGTACAGACATGAGACTGTAATCAAAATCAAACTGTCACTTAAAGTAACAAAGAATGGCCAAGTTGTTGTTCAAATTGGGATAGGTGGTAAATACAGTAGGAGATGATGGACTGAAGCGTGAGGCTGACTGTGTGTAGGGGATATAAAGCTGGGGGGAACAGGTATGCTTTATTCACAGTCTGAGGAGACCACTGAGCACAGACTGACACATTAAAAACGAATTGATAGATTACATAGCAGCTGGGCAGACAGCTGTGTGTGTTTGTTTCCTATCATTACATCATACAAATGCGGTTTCCTTGGTGAAATAAGACAGATGAGTTCTCTAAAAAGGGAAACCCATGTAATAGAGATAAGATCAGCCATGGAACATTACTATTAACTGTCTGATCAATATTTGATTTGATCAATATGTTGATTGACAAATTACAAGCAACAATTATTAGGATTGGTTTATTGTATAACATATGCGTTCTCTTCTCAGGAGCTAGCTTTAAAATAATGTTGCTGCTTTTCACACATGTGTTAACTGAATATATTTGGGTTATTGGTCAAACAAAACAAGTTTTGGAGACTGTAGTAGACTTTTTCTTAATTATCTGACTACACTGAGGTCCAGGCACATTTAACTCGGAAATACTCACTACACTGAGGTCCAGGCACATGTCACTCAGAAATACTCACTACACTGAGGTCCAGGCACATGTCACTCAGAAATACTCACTACACTGAGGTCCAGGCACATGTCACTCAGAAATACTCACTACACTGAGGTCCAGGCACATGTCATTCAAAGCAACACTCACTACACTGAGGTCCAGGCACATGTCACTCAAAGCAACACTCACTACACTGAGGTCCAGGCACATGTCACTCAAAGCAACACTCACTACACTTACGGCCCGTCCACACAGCAGCTTTTGGCGATTTGTCCACCGCTTCCAGCGCGTCTCCGCCCATTGACTTTGAATGGGGATGACGTCACTTTCCCTCGCTTGTCGCCGAACTGCATTGTGGGGGGGCGAGGCGAAGATTTCCAGGATTTCCAGGATTCCAAAGTTGAACATTGTTCAACTTTTGAGGCTGAGCTGGAAGCGACAGCCAATCAGATCCGTTTATGCAAATCTGACAGTTCAAGCGCTAGCCAATCAAACCGCGTGCAAGCTGGGAGAACGAGACCCGCAGTTCATTTCTATATTCCACAAAAATGGAGGAGAAGTTAGTTATTGCGGTAGCAAATCACCCGGTTCTTTATGACCAGTCCCTATTTACTTACCGGGATACAAACCGGAGGAACCAGGCATGGAGGGAGGTGGCAGAGACAGTGGGGGAAACTGGTAGGTTTTCGCTCGTTTGGGGATTTTATATCCAGTTTACTTCGTTGCTAGTTTACTTCGTTGCTAGCAAGCATAGACAGTATCATTAGCCAACATGGAATGTAGCATAAAATAGCACCATAAACATTAATCTCATAAATGTTCAAAATGTTAAAAAAAATAAATGTTCATCATAGCCCTTCCTATTTGACAATAGTGTAGAAGAACCGGGTTTTTTTGCTTTGTATGTCGGGGGCGGGATATTCATGTGATATTCATGTGATTGGTTGTTGGTCGCGAAATCCCCAAGCTGTCAGACACGCCCAGCTCCAGGATTTTCAAGATTTGGTCAAAGCTGCTGTGTGGACACACCGTGAGGTCCAGGCACATTTCACTCAAAGCAACACTCACTACACTGAGGTCCAGGCACATTTCACTCAAAGCAACACTCACTACACTGAGGTCCAGGCACATTTCACTCAAAGCAACACTCACTACACTGAGGTCCAGGCACATTTCATTCAAAGCAACACTCACTACACTGAGGTCCAGGCACATTTCACTCAAAGCAACACTCACTACACTGAGGTCCAGGCACATGTCACTCAAAGCAACACTCACTACACTGAGGTCCAGGCACATTTCACTCAAAGCAACACTCACTACACTGAGGTCCAGGCACATTTCATTCAAAGCAACACTCACTACACTGCGGTCCAGGCACATGTCACTCAAAGCAACACTCACTACACTGAGGTCCAGGCACATGTCACTCAAAGCAACACTCACTACACTGAGGTCCAGGCACATTTCACTCAAAGCAACACTCACTACACTGAGGTCCAGGCACATGTCACTCAAAGCAACACTCACTACACTGAGGTCCAGGCACATTTCATTCAAAGCAACACTCACTACACTGAGGTCCAGGCACATTTAACTCGGAAATACTCACTACACTGAGGTCCAGGCACATGTCACTCAGAAATACTCACTACACTGAGGTCCAGGCACATTTCATTCAAAGCAACACTCACTACACTGAGGTCCAGGCACATTTCATTCAAAGCAACACTCACTACACTGAGGTCCAGGCACATGTCACTCAAAGCAACACTCACTACACTGAGGTCCAGGCACATTTCACTCAAAGCAACACTCACTACACTGAGGTCCAGGCACATGTCACTCAAAGCAACACTCACTACACTGAGGTCCAGGCACATTTCACTCAAAGCAACACTCACTACACTGAGGTCCAGGCACATTTCACTCAAAGCAACACTCACTACACTGAGGTCCAGGCACATTTCACTCAAAGCAACACTCACTACACTGAGGTCCAGGCACATTTCACTCAAAGCAACACTCACTACACTGAGGTCCAGGCACATGTCACTCAAAGCAACACTCACTACACTGAGGTCCAGGCACATTTCATTCAAAGCAACACTCACTACACTGAGGTCCAGGCACATGTCACTCAAAGCAACACTCACTACACTGAGGTCCAGGCACATGTCACTCAAAGCAACACTCACTACACTGAGGTCCAGGCACATTTCACTCAGAAATACTCACACAGTTTAGCTTCTGTTCACATATGCTTCATCGGAATAAACTGAAAGCTTTAGAATAGAAATAATAAGCTGGGCTTTTGCTTTTTGGACCCCTCCACATTTGTACTCAGGGCTCTCACGGCTTAGATCTCATTTTATTGGTTGAAGACTAGTCAAATATTTGTGGCTGACACCATGGTCCCTTTGTTAAAGTGGTAGGGTTACCATCACTGCATTAAGCAGAACATTCTTTGTGCACACTATTTTCAGAACAATTTACCAAATGATCCAAATGCTAAGGGGTGGGTCTATTTCCAATAGTGGTGGGGACATGTCCCCAGCGTCCACAGTATAAATGACGCCTATGGCTGACACAGTACTGTAGTCCTGAAAGTCCAATTCAATATCAGGGTAAAAACACTAAGATTCCATCCTCCACATTCACTGATGCTCATCCATGCTGCCTTTGGTACACACCACATACTATGTATATATATATATAGATAGGTACTTTAGAACTCCTCCGCCTACAGTAAGGAGAACTGAGAACTGCCACACCACCACTATGTGCAATATCTTTATCATCATTACAAAAAACGATCTGCTTTGCAATATTCTGTGCAACAATAATACCGTGTATTATGTATCTGCCACTAGGGTTGATGTTCTGTTCCATACCCCCATGGATGTATAATAAGAACTGGATACAGCGTGGGAGGCGGGGCCTCATTCATTCCTATGAGAGCTGCTCATTAGCGCATGATGATCAAATGGCCCAACTTTTGAGAGAGTGAAACGTCACAGATTACCCAGCATGCCTGAGAAGTACCCGTATGTGCACTCATAGAGCATGCGCAACTTTAACCAAAATGCTCGTTCACATCAAGCACGTCAATTTGCGTACACGTAACAGCACCGCGCGTTCATGACAGCATGGTAATGGTTTGTTATTATGATGGATTTGATATGAACGAGGCGGCAGTTAGCAGCTAGCGGCTAGCTAGTAATTATGCTAATGTACACATTAATCGTTATGTACTTATATTACGCTGTAACAGGATCTAGTGATATCCAACAGAGCTTCATTTAGCATGAAAGAATTATTGCACTGTATATATATATATATATATATATATATATATATATACAGTGCAATAAGCTTCTTAGTGCAATAATAAGCTACAGGGACGTTAATCTAACGTCGGTAATATTAACTTTATTTAATACAACATTTACGATACAAGATTTAATCATACAGCCCATGTAGTATAATATTTTACAAATGATGAATTACAGCAAACATGTGCAATATATCCATTATTACAGCTCCGTGGGCTAGCAGTAAGGCGATATGGTCCGTTCTTATTGTGCATCCATGGGTAAAGATAAACGCATGTAGTACTGAACACCTAACATGAACGTGCCGGGCGGTGCGGTCCCGTGGGTTAGATGCGCGTTCATAATGCAGAGGGAAATAACTCTCAGAATAACGTTATTAGCACATTTTACAACTTGAGGACCGAATGTTTTTAATAAGGGCTATACAAACGTTCATACTGGGTAGTTTATTTAGTTTAAAAAAAATTATCCAACGAGTTACAGACCACTCTTTCCCAATGTAAGTCAATGGGAAAAAGTGTTTCCGGGCCTGGCAACCAAACGGAAGTGTAGTACCGCCGTTTAACCAGCACGGATATTTTCATCTGAGTCCGGCACACTTCCTGGGGGCTTGCATACCCCTCCCCACTGTACAGTATCTTACAGTCTTTACTTGTCCATCTTTGTTTCTTGAAGTTTGTTGTTTAATTTTCTCTTTTTACTGCACTGATAGTGTACAGTTTTATTATTATTATTATTATTGTTACTATTAGTCCTATGTTTATTGTAGTGAATCTTTTATAAATCTGGCACAATCATTTCCTTTGGGATAATAAAGAATATCAAAATGTAATTGCTTACACGTTTATGACAAACAGTTTTGTCTGGAGCCTACAGGTGAGCATCAGTACACAGGCTTATGGAGGGTGTTAGCTTTTGTCAGATGTTGGTGTGTGAGCTGGCGTTACCTGGGAAACATGTCTGCAGGTGTTCGGTGAGGGCCTCCTGAGTGACAGCCTTGTGAGCAGAGTTCATAGCAGAGATAGCCAATAGCAACACTTCTCCCAGAGGGATGAACTGGGATTGGCTGATGGGGGACATACTGATGGGTGACACATCACCTGTGAAAAGACAGAAATCAGTCACTTAGAGGATACAGGATACAAATGTTCTCCAACCAGGTCCTGTATCCTGACATATGGACACCATGCAGTCGAATGCCTCATGTCTACTTCTCTAAAAACGTCTAGAATCAAACCCCTGGCTGTCCTGGGATCTGTCCTGCAACTCATTCTTTATTTTCTCTTGCCTCATTTGCTGTCACCTCTCTGCCTACCTAATAAAGACATTAAATGTAATGTATGAACATTTCTAACCCTACCTGGTAAAAAATGAAGGTTTAATAAAAGAGAGACCCTCATCTTTACCTAAAATAAACCAACAGACTCAAATAATAATAATAAACGTCATATAATTTAAAGCTAACCACTACGTGTCTTCAAAGTGAACCATATGCCACTTAAAGGTCTCCTAATATGCTATTTTTAGGCATATATTATGGGTCTCAGATATATACAAATATACAAAAAACATGTATATGATGTGTTTTGCTCAAAATACCAAACAGATCATGAAGAGAGAGGGTTTTGTTTTCTGACACTTAGTGAGTTCCCTGACACACCGGGGACACATATTTATGTATAAAAGACATCAAAAAGTGCATTTTGCATGATAGGTCCCCTTTAACACAGACGACCGCCCCATGCAGGGGAACTTGTGTTCTGGATTGAACTGTGACAGATTCACTACAGAATCTCTGTGTTGTTCAATATCTTTCATTAAAGCAGTCTCTCATACTCTGTGACTTCCCACCCTGTCTCAAGGTTCACGGATTTCCTAAAACAGCTGGTCAACGTAGTTGAGCATCTTTCTGGCAGCAGGCCAGTGTATGTGGGATTGAGTCAAATACAAATCTGTGTGCTGAAGGAACATGTCTAACAGTGTGATGTGTTTTCAGAGAATGTGAGCCGGACCCCCTCCACCCTGCTCTCCTGGGCTCGGCACAGCAGAAGCCCGATGCCCCTCATACTAGGACACGGGGGCTCAGCTTTTCATGGGGGGTTCAAGAAAGGAAGGTTGGGAACCAGTTCTGAGATGCATGTTAACGTGATTATTCTGACAATGTCCTCCAATGCAGCTATAAAGTGCACTACAAAGACTTTCCGCAAAAAGCCCCCACACATAAACAGACTTGCACCTTTTTTTATAGAAAGATATGTTACACATTATTACTAGGGCCGGGACTTTAACGCGTTAATTAAGATTAATTAATTACACAAAAATTAACGCGTTAAAAAAATTAACGCATTTTAATCGCACTTATTTTTGCACCGCGGAACGTTTCTCACTGGATGAGTTTCAGGCGTACCGATTATACTGGAGCACCAACTAACGTTCATGACTTCAGACAACAACAAACCACAGTGAACAACAGTGGGAAATGTTGTTTTAAAAAACGGACGGATGGAAGCGTCGATAAGAGCACGGTTGTGTGCAAATTATGCAAAAAGGAATTCGCATATCACCGCAGCACATCAAGCCTCAAGTATCACCTCAATGCAAAACATATAGCAGCTAGCGTGGACGTTAGCCTCGTTATCGCGTTCACACCAAAAAGAGCCGGTACTAAAATTAGTTCATGAGAATCTTTTTACCCCCACGAAAGTCCCTGCTAGAGAGCAGGGACTTTCGTACGGCTCTCTTGTGAGAAAAGAGCTATATTTCTGATTGGCTGGGCGGATTGCAAACCACGCCCCGTAAAACTCCCAAAAAGTTTTGTGAAGCCGCCATTTTTTTTCCCATGCATTAGCATTATTAGCATTAGCCCAGCACAGAAACGCAGAGAGACTAACTTATGGCAACACAAAATAAAACATGGGAGCGGTGGAGATGAGGAGGTGTCGGCGTTCTGGCGATTTACTCGGAAGGCTGCTGGGACTCCCAGCAGCTTCTACTGAAGCCAGTCCCCAACTCCGGGAACTTCCGGCCGGGGACTTTGGGCGGCAGTATACGCCGTGAAGTGGTTTGCGGCCTGCCAGTAAACCCAAAGCAGAAGAAGAAGAAGTGACGTCAGCGGCTTCATTTGCCTAATCCACCCCCAGGTTCAAAGAGTTCTCATGAACCTTTGTGGGAAAAGTACTGCGGTGTGAATGCGCCTAATGGTATACTAAAATCCATGTGAAAAAAATTGCTTCTCACTGTTCTTAGGTCAAATATTTATATGTGATTAAAAATGCGATTAATTTCGATTAATTAATTACAAAGCCTCTAATTAATTAGATTAATTTTTTTAATCGAGTCCCGGCCCTAATTATTACACCTGTAAAGTGTGACCAAAAATAATCTAAGTAATAGCAATATCTTCCGTAATCAAACAACGACCACGTTTTAAACTCTATAAATCTGTGCTCGGTGGGACAATATCACTGCATCTGGATTAAACTTCACAGAGACAGCACTACACACGTGAAGTCTCTGCATCAACTTGAATATATTACTTGAGACCAGGGGTCTCCCACACGTCGAGCGCGGGCAGCTTTTCAGTAGCTCGCCGCTCGCGGTTCACAGACTGTGTAGAAAAGATCAGACGACAATAAATGCACCTCTCCCGACTTCAATTCAATCAAACACATAGATGTCCCACCCCCTCCAATACAACATAATAAGATAGGCCTTAGGTAGGGATGCTCCGATCGATCGGCCGCCGATTGATATCGGCTGATATTCACTCTCGGCCGATCGATCGGTGCTCTCTATAAAGGCCGATCGGGAGAGCCGATCACATGACGTAAAATACATGACACTTTTCTCTGTGCGCGGCAAAACAAGCTCGCCAAAATGGCTTCACCAGTCTGGCAGTATTTTAAGGTGTCCGAAAAAGACAATAAAATAGCGGAATGCAACGTGTGTGAAGCAGAAATCCTGCAGCTCCGCCCGCCGGACCGGTGAGCGGAGCAAAACACACACTAACGGAGCGTCCACACTACAGCTTCAAAAAAAGCTTGGAGCTGGGCGTGTCTGAAGCTTGGGGATGTTATTCAAGCAACGCGACCAACAACCAATCACATGAATCTCCCGCCCCCGACATACAAAGCAAAAACCCCCGGGGATTTTATGGGAGAAATATATATATAAACTCCCCAAACAGGCGAAAACCTACCAGTTTCACCCACTGTCTCTGCCACCTCCCTCCATGCCTGGTTCCTCCGGTTTGTATCCCGGTAGGTGAAGAGGGTCTGGTCATACAAAACCGGGTGATTTTCTACGGCGATAATTAGTTTCTCCTCCATCTTTTTTTGAAATATAGAAATGAACGGCGGGATATCTCTCCCAGCGTAGACGCGGTTTGATTGGCAACATCTGAGTACTTCTCCCACCTCTGTATCCTACAGTTGGTCAAAATAACATTTATTGTGCTGTTTTGCCATATAGCTTTAAAATGCCCAAAAAAAAATGTTTAATGGTTTTATCACTTTTTAATTTGTTTGACCAGTGGCGAGCCGTCAGGGCCCTCTAGGCCCTCTCTGAGGGACTAAGATATTCTAAAAAATAATATTTGAAAACACTAAAAAATATATTTAAAAAAAAAAAAAAAAAGTATTGATTTAATTGTATTTAAAATAAAATGTCCAAAGAAATAAATCCTTCGAATCTGCCTGTTCAGTTTCTGTTGGAATGTGAAGGGTTAAATGAAAGAAGCTCCTTTGGCCGTCTCTGCGAGTTACTGTGAAGATAGGAGGTGATTGGTAGTCCAGCTAGGGTAACTGAACGAGAGAGTAATGTCAAATGACAGTACCATTGACCAATCATATCTTCCCTCTAAATAGGTGGGCTTTATTTTCGCGGACTTTATGACAAGTTCCGTCCGCTGTGAAGTGTATGCATGTGTTAACACCGGTTAACATACATGCATAAAGTATGCATGTATGCAAGTATGCGGAAGTAGCTAATTAGCATAAGTTCGTTCATGATGGCTCACATCAGTGATAGTGTTGACATTGACATCGTTGCGAAATTATTAACTGAGTCATTTTCAAGATTGAGTTACAATGATAAATTGGAGTGGCAAAGAATCAGCTGAATGACCCGCCATCAAGTGCTTCATCCAAAAGGACAGGAGGATGGACATTGTGTTTGAGTGATTTGATCATCAAAGGTAGGCCTTACGGCCCCTACACACGGCGGCGTGCGTTGCCGCTTCAACGCTTCTGCCCATTCACTTTGAATGGGGTGACGTCACGATTCGCCGAACTACATTGTAGGAGCGAAGCGTAGCTTCTCTCGCGGTGCTCGCTGCAAAAGTAGAGCAATGTTCTACTTTTGCCGCCTCGACGGAGGCGTCAGCCAATCAAATCCTGCGTATGCAAATCTGACAGTACAAGCGCTAGCCAATCAAACCGCGTGTATGTTGGGAGAGCCAGACCGCAGTTATTTCCCATATGTCAAAAAATGGAGGAGAAAATTATCGTGGCGGTAGGGAATCACCCGGTACTATATGACCAGTCCCTCTTTACATACAGGGATACAAACCGGAGGAGCCAGGCATGGGGGGAGGTGGCAGAGACAGTGGGTGAAACTGGTAGGTTTTCGCCTGTTTGGGGAGTTTATATCCAGTGTACTTCGTTTGAATGGACAGCTAGCAAGCATAGACAGTATATTTAGCCAGCATGGATGTAGCATGAGCTTTGCTTTGTATGTCCGGGGCGGGACATTCATGTGATTGGTTGTTGGTCGCGTTGCTCGCATTGACTCCCCAAGCTCAAGACACGCCCACCGCCAAGCGGCAACGCACGCCGCCGTGTGTAGGCTCCGTAACGGTCCGTCCACACAGCGGCGTGCGTTGAAGCTTCCAACGCTTCTGCCCATTCACTTTGAATGGGGTGATGTCACTTTTAGCCGAACTGCATTTTGGGAAGCGACGTGGAGCGTTGCTGGCGTCAAAAGTTGAGCAATGTTCAACTTTTGACGCCTCGATGGAGGCGTCACCCAATGAAATCCCGTTTATGCAAATCTGCCAGTACAAGCGCTAGCCAATCAAACCGCGTGTATGCTGGGAGAGACT